CAGCATGTGTAGAAATGTGTGGAGGACTTGTGCAGTTATAAAAATTGCATTATAGTGCATACGTTTGGCAGTCATAGGTATTGACAGGAATTCTTTAGGACAGCCAGGGAAATGTAAGGCTCCCAATTCCCATAGACTGCAGAAGTGTATGTGTGTACACACACAGTCCAGTAAATCTGCAGTACCCCAAATAATATTTGCACATTGCATATAATAACTGTAGAATATATCTATATATGTTTGCATCTATGTAAGCATGGTCATCTAGCAAAAGCAATAGTGGAATTAGTAATGTTTAAAATATTTAAATGATTTGTGAGGAAAATGTGAAGTTTTCATAATTCACAAAATATAAGCCTAGTTTTAAATATGATTACTTATAATAGGAACAAAGAAATATCACCTAAGATTTAAAAAATGTTCTAAATTGGATTTCAGAATGTCATTTTATGGTGGTATTACATTTACATAGGGTGTGCTAAATGTTCTTTAGTACCTTAGTATGCATAGATAAATATGGCTGTTGAAATGCCCAGAATTAATAAGTATGCCTAGTGTCTGGTATTCACTTATTCTTTTTTCCCATTAAGAAGTTAAACATTTAGCACAAAAAATTGTTCCTGCAGGGAAATAATTTTTAATTTGAAAGGTTCTGTATTACCACCATAAATTGGAGAAACAAGGTTATACTGGGCAGTATAAGTGTAGGATGTTTTGGTTTTTTGTTTTGCAAATTAGAATATTAATAAAAATTTGTGGTAATTTATCTCAGCTAGGGGAGAATTGGGAATAAAAGCAAACAGTGTCCATATTTGTGACTATATTTTATTTATTCATTTACAACATTTTTATGCCGCCCCCATCGCAACAAAGCCTTGGGGCGGCTCACAACAAGAACAAAATATACAAATTATACAATAAAAATATTAAAACCTGGTGCATCTTGGCTTAAAAGATTTAAAATCCTATAAATAATTAATAAATTAACAATTAAAATAAGTTTTAAATAAAAAGGTCTTAGCCTGGCACCGAAAAACAACTAACGACGGCGCCAGGCGGACCTCTCTGGGGAGCGCATTCCATAGATGGGGCACCACTGCAGAGAAAGATGTATGCTGTATGTAAGGACCTATTGCTTATAACTTTTGAAATTACAGTTCAATCCTATGTTTACTCAGAAAAAAGGCCCACTGGCTATGTTTGGACAGAATTTTAAACCCTGGTTTGCCTTGATAGGAACTGACCAGGACAGGTGTTGGTCTCTTACTCTTCCTGTTTCTCTTCCTCTAGTGAGATTGAAACAATTAATTCAGAAACTTTTGCTTCTAGTTTTGACTAACTGCAGGTTGCTATTTGTCCAATCCCTGGTTAACCTTAGCCATAACTTGCTTGAAATAAGCTGATTGCAAACCTCAAGTTATGAAACTGGATTATTTCAGTGAAAACATAGTTAACTCCATTTTAGTGTTTAGACATTGGAATAAACAGTGGGTAATTAAAAATGGAACCAAGATTTCTAATTTCTTTGTGGTTTCACCAGAGGAAGATGGGAGAAGATGTGATCTCAAAGTTTGCTTATGCTTGTTTCTCTCAAGATCTGTTATGGCTTATCAAGATGATACCAAATCTCAGCCAGTGGGTCCAGTGGAACTTACTCCCTAGTAAGTGTGTCTACAATCACACACTCACACACAAAGTGTGGGAGTCTAATATAGGCATGGAAAGTAGTAACAAAGATGTTTACAAAGGTTACACATTTTATTTTTACTGAACACTTTAGAGAAGGTATTTCTCACCTTGACAGAAGGTGGCAGTACAATACCAACTGCATAAGGTTGTATCTGTACAAGTGTAGATCTCTCTCATTTATAGTGCTGATTTTTTGTTGTTGTTTCTCTAAACTCTGCCTTTTAGAATACTTTAAATCCAGACTACTTGGGCATTGGAAATAATACTGATATCCTCCAGAGCAAGTTTTTGTCAGGACATCTACTAATTTAGTTGATGCTGAGAGCTCTTTCTGATGTTGAAATCTTTTTGTAGGCACCTGTAATACTTCTAATATTCTGCTCAACCAACTAAAGTTTTAAAAACAGTCTCTTTAGCAAGCATAGATTTAAGCCTAATTTACCATTTAAAAATCAAAATTAAGTTCTTTCTTTGGTAAAGATTGACAATGATATGTTTGTGTGAACATCAAAGCAGTCACTTTTTAAAATGTTTTTGTATTATATGTTTGGTATTTTAACATAAATGACAATACTTCCTTTAATCAAACTTCCAGTTATTGTATTCTTAATGTGCTTAATATGTTCAGTTTTACACTTTAATTCCTTTATCCTCACATTGTGAACAGTCTGTTTGTGGAATTTTGTGTAGCAGTTAGACAAGAAGCCGTTAGTGACTTTCCTTCCCATCTCATTTCAGTCTGGAGAGGAGGATGCTTTTTCTTCTTAACATTCTCTCCCAGCACTCTGAATTAGAGATTTATTTGCAACGAAAAATCAATTAGTCCTAAATTTATTCATGGATTTCAGGTCCAGCGATCAATGCAAGTCCACTCAGTGGACTCAAGGGGACCCACTTCATCCCAGTTAATGTGTCTGAAGGGGAATTACCATTGATACTGTTTTTTCCCTTTCAGGTCAGAGATCAGATCTCACTGTCACGGACTGCGGCAACCAGGAATGACTTCACCCTGCAGCTACCTAAGCTGCACCTGGAGACCTTTGCAATGGAGGGGCTGAAGGGTGGGCCAGAGGTTGTAGCATTCCAGGTTAGATTCTCAAATTACCTTTCTTTACAGCCAAAATGTTCAAAACACACAAAAAGTGCTAAAAATGAATGCTTCGATAAGGTTGTGGACAATTGTTTTAAAAATGGGGATTCTCAGTTGTACTTGAATGAAATCATTATATTAGAAAGCCTATTCCAAATGGAGTATTAAAAAACTGGAGAAGGGACTGAGCAAAAAAAGCATAATATGCATAAAAAATAACATGCTCAAGAGGAGGAACACATTATTTGCATGATTGTTTTTGAGTTGGTTCATAAATTAGCACATAATTTATTTCTTCCCATATTATTTTCAAAAAGGGAAAGATAAATAATAAAGAAATGGCCTTAGATCAGTAGGCAGGGGTATCATCAACACTGGGTGGTACAAGAGCAATGGACCAAGAGCTGGGTGCACTGGAGTTGCGTATTTTCATACCAGGTGGAGTTGTTCAAATGCTGGGAAAAAACTCTAGGGTTATTGATCTTTTTTACAGCTTAGTGACAGACACCTTCTGGTACTAACTGATGACAGAGAGTATCTGACAAGTGAAATGGACAATGAATATAGTTGTCAAGGAATCTACATCAGAAAACAGCTCTCCTACATTTAAGCAAAAGCCCCTACTTAGCTTCCTATTTAATTTGAATGATTCAGCAGATTTGTATAAATGTTTTTGTGGAAGGATCCATTTTCACACAGACATGGTGTTTGCCTTCACTAAAAGCCCATTTATTGAAACTCTGAGCTTTGGTCTTGGCAATTTGCGCCACTCCTTGGACTAGCTGAAGTTGTCATAGTTGCAACGAAACTGCAATGCCATTGACTGGTAATTGGAATGCAAAAATGTGTCTTGCAACAACTTGTGAGCATTAGTTTACGTCCAAACTAGATGTGACAGCAGGTTATCTATGATATGATATCTTTTTAATAATTACAAGTGTTAAGCAGGTGTGTGTGGGGTGGTATTGGCATGGTGAGGAAGGATTAGCATGCTGCCCTGTTCTTCCTATAGCTATTTAATATCTGCTGCTGCTGCTTCACTGCTGAAATCACAGACCTCCTAAGATCACATCTAGTTAGGCCATGATTTTTCAGATGGGGGTGGGATTCTTGTGTTCACCCATATACACCTTGCTCTAAAATTTGGCTCCCTTTTCAATACCAGACTGTTTGAAACCTTGAGCATTTATTGAGTTAAGCAGCCAGTCTAATAATGCATAGCCCCAGAGTGAAGCTCTTTTCCATATTGCATGCTAAGTGACAAGTATAACAGGTATTTTTAAAATGACAGAGAATATTTTGGTCCTGTCATTCTGGAATTTTTCAGATGCCTATGTCCCAAGTTAAGTATCCTAATCCTAAAGTGACACTTCTTTCATTGGATCTTAATCTCAAGTGTGCATATGATTGATATCAAAGTTGTATCGCCTGTGAGGAAGCCATTGTTAAAAAGCTATATATGTATATTTTGTTGGGTATATTCAACATACAGTATTTATACAATGTCTTCTCAGTGTTATATAAATACTAAATGTGTCATTACTTTTGTGTCTCTTCATTATCAGTAAGATTTTGAAATTAAAATCCCTAAAAATAAATATGGTCAGTCAATGTTATCATGTGTAGAAATTACAAAAATCTTATTATTGAGATTGTTTGTTTGTTTATGGATTGATTCATCCCATGAGTTCAGGAGCGGAAAGTAGGAATTGCTCATTAGAATAAACTAGAGAATCCTTGCTGCTGAAGGGCTCATAATCCAATTAAACTAGATAAAGGTCATTCTTATTTTGTTGTTCCCCAAACTTGTTACCTCTCCCTCACTACATATGCCTGCACACGCATTAACCATTTCCCACCATTGATTTAAGTTAGCAAGGATCTATGATAAATTTACATGAATTACAGTCTACCGGACAATACAGCATTTTCCAAATGGCTGACTTTGAGCGTATCACTGAACTCTGTGCATCGGTCTTGATATTCAGATCCAGTCTCCTCCATTTTATCATACTGGAATCCAAGACTGAAGAACCTACAGCCCTTCAGAGGTTGTTTGGCTGCAATTCCCTTCAGCTACAACCAGCATGGCCTGTGTTCAGGGATGATGGAGTTGTCCTCCAGCAACATCTGGAGGGCCACAGGTTACTTCCCGCTGCTGATTTTAATGCAGTCAAGAAATCAAGGCAGTGGTGTGATATAGACAAGCTTCATTCTTGAGGGGTGGAGTCACGAAGATAAGGAATGGTTTTTGGTTTTTATTTATTAGATTTATATCCTGCCTATTTTCTTTTAAAATCAAAGCAGCTTACATCATACTTATCCTGCTGATCTCAATCTTATCCCCACAAAAAGAACCCTGTGAGGTAGGTTGGGCTGAGAGTCTGCGACTGGCTCAAAGTCACTCATTTGTTTCCATGGCCAAGGGGTGACTAGAATCTAGATCGCCTGTACTTTTAACCAGTATACCACACTTGCTCTAGTTTAAGCCTCCACTCAGTGAGACTGCTAACTGCACCCTTTACCTTCTGGAAGGATGTAGGTCATACCAGCTTTTCCCTTTAAGGAATGTGTGAGGGGATACATTGAAGTGGTTTTGACTTGCATTGGGAAAAGAAACAAGCATACCAAAATTAAAGGGCCTTTAACTAGAATAAATATTAAGCTTTATTGTTGCATGTCTTGTGGAGGACTTTCTTCATTGTTTATTTTAGGACCATGATTTAAATGTCATTTTACATTTGTTTAGCTAATTTATCTTATTGAACTGCATTAATAACAGCGAAGCACATTTTCAGTCCTAAACTGTATGGATGTTGATTATTTGTACTTTGTTCTCTGGAAGCAGAACTATGTATGGGTTTTTAAAGTTCAATAACTGGCCGTCATAGTTGTCCAACAGCACAATCCCACTCTCTGCTCTCTGTTTCAGAAGAAACTCGAGTCTAATTCAGTGGGGACTCCCTTCCACATAGGTATAGATAGGAATACAGCCTAAACCTTATTTGTTGCTTTCGTACAAAAGAGGCCAGGAGTTGTGATAACTGGAACGTGGTTTAGATGAAGCAGAATTTGCAATGTAATTAGAGTCATTCAGCAATTTTAACAGTGTTGCTGTTCAAGTGTGATTAGGAAACTTGATGTCACTTTGCAGAAAAAAAGAACTGCCATATGGGATGATTGAGCATTGTAACATAACCGATCTACAAGTAAAGAAACTGAATGCTAATAAATGGCATAATTATTATTCAATTATTTTGACAAGAAATGCAAAGAATTTTGCAGATATCAAGGTCCAGAAACAATGAATGATGCAAACACGTTCTGGTGTATTATCAGGTCTGACCAACATAAGGATTGCATTTACTATTTGCTGTCCTCAAGAGATGAGGGAGTCAAATAACCATTATCAGTGACCCCTTCCCACTTCTTTGTAACCCCATAGGCTCATTGATACTGGGAGCCAGGAAAAGTCCCGTATTGTATTATATTAAGCTGTTCTTTGTCTTCCAGGATTCAATTGCACATGTGAAATTTAATCACTACCTGCTCAGAACTCATCAATTTATATATGAAATGTGTTGCCCCAATGGACATAACTTAAAACTTACACTGAAAATATTTAACAACAGATGGGATCAACCTCAAGTAGGCTGAAAGTTGGACAAAACACCCAAAGTTTATATCTAAAGTATAATATTTTGAATTGGCAGTGACCAACTAAAGAAAGAGATTTTAGGGTTGAGTGGATATCTCAATAAAAGCATCAACTCATTGTACAGTGGTGGTGAAATGGGCAAATTCCATGTTAGATATTATTAAGCAATGAACTGAGAATAAAATTGTCAGTATCCTAATGTCTTCCTAATAACCTTTTGTTGTGCTCGTGTTTGGAATATTGAGTTTAATTCTGATGATCCCATCTTGGAAAGGATATTGTAAAGACAGAAAACCTGTTAAAAGGGGCATCTTTCCTACAAGGAGAGAGCACCTTTCTTATGATAAAACACTGATGTTTTTGGTAAGGGATGGCTAAGGAGAGACATGATAGAGTTGCATAAAATTATGGTGTAGAGCTATGGTTATTGCTTTTCCGACTGCTGTTTCTTCTCAGGGGACAGGAACTGAGGGGAGAAGAGGAGCTTTGGGAACAGGACCTCACCTTAGGGCCTGTGGGCTATATGGTCTGGTCTGGTGGTCCAAATTCGGTCAAGGGTCCTGTATTTCTGCACACTGGGAGTAGAGAGAGAGTGAACTATGGATTGGAGGAAGGAAGGAGTGCAAAAAGGGAATTAGAATGTCCTATGGTAGTACAGAGAGAGAAGCAAGAGTGTGCTATAGGATGCAGAAGGGGATGCTTGGGTGTTAAATCAAAAGGACTCAACTACAGTAGTAACACAAATGCATGATAAACTTAGCAATCTGACCCTCTGTAAAATGTAAAAGTGGCTTTTCTAGTAATTCGAGTTGTACATATTTAGGTTATAAAAAGGCCATTGTTTGTATAGTTGGGAATTTTAAACAGAATTGTCTTATCCTCTGTTTAAAACATTTGATGATATAAAGACATTGACAATCACCTAACTATTGCTTGAAAATTAAATTTTCAGAAAAGCAGTTAAACATTAAATACAAACATCTGATTTAGGATGAAGTTTGAGAAATGTTGGGGCATTTCTTCTCTACATTCATTTAAAAGATGTTTAGGCCATTTTTTGATGGTAGCTCAAACCTATTTACAACAAAATATGCAATCATAAAACAACCTGAAATAAAAGCTAAAAAACAAAACAAATATAGAATAGAGAGAGGAAAAAATGCTTAAAAAGAAAGGCCTTGCAATTCTTCCAGAAACCCAGAGGAATCTATCCCTGTATTAAATTCTTCAGGAAGGTTCTGGAATTTCAGAGTTGCAACCATAGAAGTCCTGCTTCCGGCTGTTACCATCCTAAGTATCAAATAGCTAGTATGGCAAACTATATTAGTACATATTAAAG